AACCACAGCCCCTCCCTTGCACACTGTTCTTGTGCGTAAGTCCAAGTTGGCCTGGCCCATAGCAACAGCCTCAGGTTATCAGGAAAATTTGCTTTGAAAAAAGCCAAAATATTACTGAATTTCCTTTCATTGGTGTTCTCTCTAGAGGATGCTTCTTGGGGTTATCTGATTCTAGGGAGATTTGTGTCTTTCTTCTTGCCTTTTTAAAAACACATTTGCAACTCCATAGAGGTAGACATTAACTTATGGAGATAATGCAAATAATTTCTGTTCATAGAAATTCAAATGAGTTTTGTACAGGGAAGAGGTAATTGATTTCCGCTTTGTGGAAGAAATCATTTTTGCCTCTGTTAGAAAATTAGTTTTAGCATCCCTGATGGTCCACACATGGGTCTGAACCTTACATTCTCCTTTGATCCATGTTTTATGTCATATTGGTTCTCTCCATAAATGATAAAGATGTTCATTTTATGTTTACATGGCAGAAATTATTTTACTTAAAGAAAACCCTTTGGGGCTGGGGTTGTGGCTCAGCGGTAGAGCTCTCGCCTTGCATGTGCAAGGCCCTGGGTTCGATCCTCAGCACCACATACAAATAAATAAAATAAGTGTATTGTGTCCAACTACAACTAAAAAATAAATATTAAAAAAATCCTTTAATAAGATATTCTCACAGCAGCCATTTGGCCCTCCTCCCTCTCTTGCCCTTATCCCCATTCAATCCATTAGTTTGGTGAATGTACTAAAACCCATTTTAAATGAGTGCATTGTATGGAATGTAAATTATCCCTCAATAAAATTAATACTCTCTCTTTTTTTTAAAGACAGTAGTTTCTAAACTTCTTCTTCTTCTTTTTTTTTTTTTTTGGTTAAAATTCCTGTGAGAGTTTGCTGAAAGATCTATGGACTAACTTTCTTCTGTTCCCACAGACAGGTATGGAAAAAAAATCCTTACAGGCATGTATATAAAAGTTTCACAACAAAAGAGATTCCCAATGAAGCTCATTCATCGATGCCCTAGAGATCTCTAGTCCCTAGAAGAACCCTGACTTTATGAGATTGTCACTAGTACATATTAGGTCAAGTGCATGTCTAAAAGATTCTTTTCCTTCCATGACTCATCTTGGCCAGTAGCCTTTTCGTAGTATCTTCTAGCCCTTCCCCCTCTACCTTCTCCAGCTGTTTTGACATCCTTTCTCCATCAGTGTGGCAGGCAGAGTTTGAGGATGACCTCTATGACCTTCATCCCCTAGTGTCACTCACTTCCAGTTATGTGGCAAAGGGGAGCTTATCTGGAAAGGTCTAATCTAATCACAGTTCTTCAAAGCAGACAGTTTCTCTGGCTGGTGTTGGAAGAGTCTGATTCAAAGCCCGACAAAGACTCCATGTGTCCTTGCTGCCTTTGAAGATAGAAGGGGCCGTGCAACGAGGAATTCAGTTGGCTTCTGCGAGCAGAAAGCAGCCCCTGGCTGACAGCCAGCCAGGAAGTGAGGACCTCAGACACACACAGCTGTAGGAACTGAATTATGTCAACAACCTGCATGAGTTTGAAAGTGGATGCTTCCCCTGAGCCTGCAGATGAGATCCCCGCCAGCCAAAACCTCCATTCCAGCCTTTGAGACCCTGAGCGGGAATCCGGTACAGGCACCAAGGACCTCTGACCTACTACTGTGACATAATAAGTGGTGGTTGGTTCAGGACTCCAAGTTTGTGGCGATTTGTTACTCAGACTACAAAACTAATACAATTGGTCAGTTTCACAGTGCTGTGCAGCTGGCTGTCATTCTGCTGGATGCTTCTAGATCCAGCTCTTTTCCTCATAAAATTCCTAAGATGGCTACTGCCCCTCTTCCCCCCATGAGGATGATGTCATACTCTGGATGCCTGGCTCTTCTTCCTGCCTCCGTGGTCCACACTGGGAGCCTGCTCCCTCAAGTTTCAAAAGTTAAAGCTGAGGGATCCCTTGGCCATCACTGCACTGAGGAAGCAGAGGGGCAGCCTGCACTTGGCTTGGTGTCACCTCTCTCAGTGGGCTCTTTTCTGCTAGGACTGGGAGCAGAGGAGCTCACTCAGGTGCCCAAGTGATCCACCCTGAGATGGTGTGAAATGAGAAGAGGAAAGTTCCAGAGCCCCTCCAGCTTACTAGAAGCCTGATCCATAAGGTGTAGACAGTCCAGGCCTAGATCCTGGCAGAAGGGCTTTGAGAGTAGAAATCACGTGACAGGGTCTGAATCTAAGGGCTAATAGCTAGTCTCACAGAGGCAGGGGCTCTTCAGCTACTCCAGGGAGATAGGGATCTCTCTTAAAGGCTTTCAACGGCTTTAATCCTGTCCTCATTAGCAGCTGCGTGTAAGACATGTCCTACGTGACAGACATGGGGATGACTGTCCACCTGGCTCTTTGTAGGGTTGGCTCTTCCTTCCTTTCTTCTCCTACTGTTTTCCCCTCAGGAAAAGCTAACAGGTTTTGACGGGAAACAGGGTGCTCTAATACTGAGAGGGAGCACCCCCGAAGGCTTTCCCTCTTCCTCCTTCCATTTATCCATAAAAGTCCCAGAGCCCTCCTGCTTCCTGCCTTTGCTGATGAGAACCATTCATTTCTGGAACCAATCAGTTATTTCTGCTCTAATGAGCTAATGTCTTTTCTGGTTGGGAAAAATCCAATCAGGCCCTTACCCTCATTTTCTTCTTGGAATGCAATCTCCTGTATCTGGGAGTCTGAACGTTGTTGGAGCAGGCTTGGGGCTTCTTTATGTGAGTGTAGGGCCCAGGGTAGCCATGCTGAGGTACTGAGAAGGAGCAGGGAGTGGGGAGTTGAAGAAGGAGAAGCAGCCCTTACTCTCAATGGGAAGCCCTCTCACTCAGGTCCCTGAGAATCCCTGCACATTTCTGAACGTGTTGTTTCCTTATCCATAGGCTTGGGTATGAGTTTGTGGATTTGTGGCTTTCCTGTACTTAAGAAATCTGCCTAGATCCACAGAATTTCTTCTGTCTCGGGGCTGGGCTCCTTTACAAAGAAGCAAACCTGAAAAATGCAATGATTTCAGAATGAGTAAGATGCGTGTGTGTAAATGTATGTGTGTTAAGATGAACTTGTGTGTGATCTCAGGAACTCCAAGCATGACCCTTCTTGAGTCTCCACTTCAGCTGACCGGGAAACATGACGCTTCGAAGTGGTGGTGGAGCTGGAGGAGGGGGCACAGAGGAAGGGAGGAGGAGGAGGGCCTCTGCTTTTGGCACAGGGCCTCTGGGTGGAGCCTCAGGCCTGGCCTCTCCAGGAAGCATGTTCAGTCCTAACAGGCTGGGCTTCTCAAACACCACCTCACAGAGATGGGGAGAAGGGGGAGAAGTTGGAGGAACTGTCTGTGCTTCTGTGTCTCCCATCTCCCAGGACCCAGCCCTGGGGCCTAGCAGTCAGGGAAGTTATTATAGAGGCACATTCTTCTCCACAAGACCTTTTTTTGGGAGGGCCCTGATTCCTTATTGCCCTTTGATCACCACCCTGGAACTCACCCATTCTGGGGTTGGAAGATGACCTCTGCTCTCTAACCTGTTCTAGGGAGAGTTCTGTTTGGATGGGGCTAGCTCCCCTGTGGCCTCCCAGAGTCCAGCCCCTGCTGTAAAGGAGAGCCTCCATTTCCTCCACTATAAAATGGAGATACTGGTAGTGTGGAGGCTTGTGATGTGCCAGCTCACCCAGGCTGAGTGACCCAGGATTCCTGTTCTTGGGTGTTTCCTATGAAGGTGGGTCATGGAGAGCTTCCTGTGGGAGGGTCAAAGGGAAGTGGCGCCATGTTGTAGCTCACACGTCTTGTGGCTACTGTGCCAGCTTGCCTGGATGGTGTGAGTTGGTGGCCAGTCTGCCACTGCTCCATCTTCTTGATGGTTCCTCTTTCAGCCCCTTGGTCAGATATGTGTGTTTAGCTCTCTGAGGAATGACCCTGGCTTCTGATGATCATCCATACCACCCAGTTCAGAAGCAACAAGAACTGACATGGGTTTCCTGTCTGTCTTCGGGGATTCCGGCTTGTGTGTATGGATTCTGACTTATTCTCCATCTCCCCCCACTTTACCTCCATGTTTGTATCCCAACGACCTCCCTGGTGAACTTCAAGCAGTAGTATCAGATGGGAAGATAGCAGCCCCTTATAGACACTTCTTGACCAGCGCCTGTAACTGCTCAAAGTCAAGTCCCTGTAACAATGCCCTGTTGGTGTACACCATGAGATATACCGATCCCATGCTTATATGACATCTCTATCTATATACAGGCTGAATGTCCCTAACTGAAAATGTGAAATCTAAAATGCTCCCACATCCAACACTTAAGCTGACATAAGTGGAAAATTACACCCCTGTCCTCATGTGATGGGGGTCACACAAAATTATTTAAAATATTACATCAAATTATCTTCAGCCTGTGTGTACAAAGTGCATGTAAAATATAAATGAATTTCCTGTTTAGACTTGGATCCCATGCCTAAGACATCTCATTATGTATATGACACTATTACAAAATCTGAAAAACTCTGGAATTTGAAACACTTCTGGGCCTATGCATTTTCAACACCAGTTTCTTTCTTTTATTTTTAACTTTTGAGGTGGTCGAGGAGATAAGGGTCCCCTGTTCTCATCCTGCTCTCTGTGACCCACCTGAACTCTTATATGTGTAAATTCCAAAGCCCAGGAGCCACCAGACAAAAGACATGGTTTCTAGCTCCCCAGCAACTTAAGTGACTAGCTTGTGGGATCCTCCCCTCCCTCTTTTCCTATGAACAAACTGCCAAAGAGAGAGAGAACTTCAGAACAAACTTCTAACAAGATTTAATATTTTCAGGACTTGGATGGACTGAGACCCTGGGGGAAAATGGCAAGGTGTTCACAAACAGAAAGTCACAAGGGTCCTCAGAGGACGATGTGGGCTGGCTGGACTGCAAGTTCAGCAGGAACTTGCTTTTTCACAATATCTGTCTCAGAACATGCTGGAACCATGCTGCCCCCTTACACCCGGATTTGCTGCTGTTCCTTCCTCTTCACCTCTGCCCAGATGTCCGACAGGTCTTGGATAAACTGTTGGATCTGACACAGTAAGGGCATCGGTGATTAACCCCACCCAACCAGAGTCCTCCCCCATCCCAAGACAGTACATATCTTCTTGAAGTACATCACTTTCCCAAGGCCATCATGATACCTCATTGGTCAGTTTTTCAAGGTGAACCTGAACATGAGGTTTAATAGATTAGAAGCCACATGTAGGAAAGGAGCTGGGACCTCCTAGGGACAGGCAATAGTGATGGCATGAAGAACGGGCTGGTAGTCTAACAGAAGTGGGGAGAAAGAGACGTTCACAAACGGGCTACAGAATAAAAGCATGTAGCTGGAAAGGCCTGGTTAGTGCCAGGGCAGACGTCCTCCACAACTTCAGAGTCCTTGAGGCCTTGGAACCCAGACCTGATGCTCATTATGATCATCTTGAGTCATCAAGAAAAGTTTAAGCTCTATTCACCAACTTCCGTTTGAAAGCACTTGTAGTCACCTTGATACAGTGCTGCTTCCCAGGTTAGAAGACCCAGCTGGGTCTTTAGAGGTCAGAAGACCCAGCTCCTCATGCGGCAGCTCTGGGGAAATCACTTCAACTTTCTGGAACTCAGTTTCTTTGTCTTTAAAAAGGCAAGAGGGAGCTGGGCCAGGTGGTGCATACCCTAGCAGCTTTAGGAGGCTGAGGCAGGAGTATCCAGGTTCAAGTCAGCCCCAGCAATTTAAGCAGGCCCTAAGCAACTTAGTGAAACTCTGTCTCAAAAAATGAAAGGGCTGGGGATATGGCTCAGTGGTTAAGTGCCCTTGGGATCAATCTCTGGTACAAAAAAAAGAAAGAAAGAAGAAAAATTTGGATGGCCTCTAGGATCTTAGTTTTAAAACAATGACACTACACAGACTTTATCCAAAGCTCCAAACCCCTGATATTTCTATTATTGATGGAATTCCTATTTTCCAAATGAGGAAATAAAGAGCCAATGAATTAAAGCAATTTCCCAAAGATTAAAGACAAATGCAGCATTTGTCTTGGAACCCAGGGGCACTTTACCACTGAGCTACATTCCCAGCCCTTTTAATTTTTTTTTTTATTTTTGATAGGGTCTTGCTAAGTTGCTTAGGGCCTCATTAAGTTGTTGAGGCTGACCTTGAACTTCTGATCATCCTACCTCAGCCTCCAGAGTCACTGGGATTAGAGGCATGTGCCACCATGCATGGCCAAATTCAGTATTTCTTAAACTATGTTCTTGTAATAAGTGGTCACATACTCCGAAAAGGGTGGCTAAGTCAGTTTTAGAAACATCATTTGTTTGAGAATCTCAAAGCAAGGAACATTAGCAAAGAARTCAACTTTGTTTAAAACTTAGTGTTTTCTAGATGTATTAGTCCATGGGGCCCTTTTATTCCCTCATAGGAAACAATATCTCCAAGATTCTAGGATTTGCCAAACACAGTTTGGAAAATTGCTGCTCCATGTAGTTCAGTCTCATTCAAGGAAAATTCTAGACCTTTCACAACACAATATATTGAATGTAGATCATCCTGGCCTTTTCCTAATTGTAATATGTACCACAATCTTAGCTCTATGTAAGCAACTGCCTTACCAAGCCTGGGCCGGAGTCTGTTGTCAGAATGTTGTTGAAAACATTAGTCACTGAGTGTCTCTGAAGTTTCATTGAGAAATTTCAGTTAGAACTCTGCATGCAACCTCATGTTTTCTTCTTTTGGCACAAGAACTATGTGTTGTTTTTCATCTGGTTACTAGGAAGCTCAGAGTCAACTATTGTCCCTATTGAAGGTCCTTGAGTCCAAGAATTCACTAGATTCTGTTTTTCTCTTTTTATATTTAACTTCTGATTTTAACTTATATTTTCCCGGATGCTTTTTTTTTCTTTTTAATTTTCCAGGCTACTAGGTCATGTGATATTTCCGTCAACAGGAGTATAACCTATAGACATGGAATGAAATATTTTAAAATAACCTTTGGGCAATACTCCTCTTAAAATAAATCAAGGTTGAGACTTCCTAGATCAAAACTGAGAAAATCAAAATAGAAAATCAACAATCCAGTAAGGAGTTTTGCCAATGTCCAATAATGCCATTCTTCTCACAAAATACCTAAAAATTTTTTTAAAAAATAAAAAATGCTGTTTCTGTTAGCATGCCTTTTATCATTATTCTCATTATTCTTTTTTCATTATTCTCACACAGATATTTTAACATTTTTGTTTCAATTTCTAATTTGGTAAATATCGATAGATACAACCCATAGAAAGGAAAGCTATCTTGGGGGTTGGTATTTTCAGAGTGTAAATATATCCTTATACCAAAAATTCTGAATATTGCTGTTTCTAGAACAAACTTCCTTGCAAATATACTTCTATGAACGGTAAAATAACTCTATTGTAATATGCCTTCAAACACAGGCTGAGTATTGTCTTGGGAAAATCCTTGTTAGCTGATCAGTGGGGAAATCTTTCATATGTAGATATAGATCTGTATTTCATTGTTAGGAGCCACAGCAAAAATATTGATACAGGCACCTTTGGATTTTATTGACTGCCAGCCAGCAATTCACATTCATATGGTAATTGGACTCATGCTGTTCAGCTGGGCCCATTTCAAGACAGGTTACTCATGTCACTCTTGTAATGGGAGAGTTCCCATTGGTTGGGAAAGGATGGTAGGAGGGTGTTCCGGGGGAAGGGGAAACCCCCCCGGCTCAGGTAGAACACACACGTGGCGGACCCACCTGTTAGGGGACGCACACGGCCTCTCTCTAAATAAAACTTTGTCTCAGTTTGACTGGCTTGTGTTTTTGTGCCCAACCGGGTTGCAAGATTGCAAGCCCGTGTGCACTGACAGCTCAGCAGGGGATCGCTCAGCAGGGGTGCCGCAGGCAGTGCTCGGCAGCAGGAGCGGGACTCAGCCGGCCCGGGGCCGGGCAGTTTGCGGCATTTCATAAGTTTCACCCTTTTTTAAAAAAATAAAATGCCTCTCAGTCAGTTGATTGTATGGATTGTATTTCACATTCATTTACCAAGTAGGTATTGAGTGCCTACTATGTGCCAGGCATTGTTCTAGGCACTGGGGAATTCAGCAGGGATCAACCACAAATCTCAGTCCTCAAGAGCTTTGTAGTACGTCACAGCAGAGCTAAGGGCTTTTGCCAAAGGAACACACAGTGGCTTAGTCCTGGTTCTCTGCATGCCAGAAGAAGCATCACTGATACATCTGCTGGTACAGAATTTCCCCCAAAGCCGGATAGGTGTAATTCTGGTGGTGATTTTAGGTGGCACAGGAACATGAATGGCATTAAAAAAATCTTTTGAGGGACTGGGGATATAGCTCAGTTGGTGGAGTACTTGCCTGGTGTGCACAAGGCCCTGAGGTTCAATCCCCCGTATGAAAAAAAAAAAAAAAAACCTTTTGAGTCATTCAATAAAAAAAATCTATCTCCTTTTCAATTTTCTTTCCATTGCTTCTAAGAACACCTCAGACAGGTAATTCTCAAAACTTGCCAATGTCCCTTTTTAACAGAGTGGGGTTTCCAACATTGGCCTTTACCAAACCATGGTCTCTCACTAGAATTTAATAAGGCAGTCACATGACTAATGAATCAATAGTGGATCCCTGCTCTGGCCWCGTGCTTTGAGGCCAAAAAGGATCTTCGTATGAATGTAGTGGTTCTCAAAGGTATGGCACCTGGAGCAGCAGCATCACTTGGGAAATTGGGTTCTTATCTCAGACCTATGGAGTCAGAGATTGTGGGGCAGGGCCCAGGGATACCCCTCTCCCTGCCCGCTCCCCACCAGGTGATTCTGATGCTGTTGACATCTGAGAGCCAATGCTGTGCCTGGTTCATTCCTCCACTCAACCATTCACTAGAGAAGCCCCTTGGCCCACATCCAGCTGACCCCAATGCCTGCATCTTTCTCCTACCATGTCCAGCTGTTTGTGCGTGTCCTCCAGGGACACTTGGGCTGTCTCCTTTAGCTGTTTGCTCACGATCTGGAACAGGTTCAGCGTTGCCATCTTAATGGTGCCAAGCAAAAGGGTCTTCTTGGCTGCTGTATTCTGGATGTGTGCCCAGCGTGATTCCTGGGGAGGGGACCAGGAAGGGATGTGAGCACAGGACTTGCATCTGTGTGTCCTGTGTGTGTGTGTGTGTGTGTGTGTGTGTTGTGTGTATGTGTGTGGGGGGGTGCACATGCACAGGCCTCACCTATGCAAAGCCCTGGAGCCCCCTACCTTGCCCAGCACAGCTGAGGTGCCTCACCCAGATGATGACATCGCTGCGGGCACGGTCAAAGCGCATCTGCAGCCGCGCCAGCTCATTGTTGTGCTGGAGAATCTCGTCGTCCTTTTCCTCCATGTAGCGAGCCAGTCGCGCCTTGGCACGTTCTATCTGCTCCTGGCTCTCCTGCGCTGATTGCATGAGATCATGGTGCATGCTCACCAATGTCTTGTAGCGTCCAATCACCTCATGGATCTCCTCAAACTGAGGCCAGGGTTTGGGTCACTGCACTGCCCGGGGGCAGATGCAGCCACCGAAGCTCTGCCAAATCCCAACCTGAACACCTGAACACATGGACACCAGGGTAGGCTGGCCTGGCCAAGGCAGGAGATGTGCAGATGTTACTGTCCTACCTCCTGATTCTCCTGGGTTTATATGGGCCATGATCCAGATATTGCCAGAAAGCACAAATGGGTTGGGGTTCTCAATCTTAGATCTATGTTAGAATCATCTAGGGAGCTTTGAAAAGGACACCTGTCAAGTTCTACTCCCAGAGATGGTCCCTATCATTTGAATGTTGCAAAAGATCTCCCAGGTGATTCTAGACACAAGAGTTGAGAGTTGCGCATAGAAGACATTTTGAGATATTTCCCAAGGCCATGATTATCCTATTTAACAAGAATGTACCAAGAACCACTTATAGGCCAGGAGCTGTGCTCAATGCTAGGGACATAGCAGGAGATAAGAAAGCCAGTCCCTGTTTTTTTTTTTTTTCTGAGGCTTAAAGCTTCAGGGTTAGAGGGAGGACTGACAGTAAATAGTCAGTTACAACACAGAGTGATAAGCCCTAGCTAGGACTGGGCGTGGGGTTGTGCAGAGCCTGGGGCAATAACATCAAGCTTGGTGCTTCCTGGTATTCCTTCAACAAATTTGCTGTGCGAGAAGTAGTAGAGTGGAAGTCCAGTGGAGAAGGTGGTCTACCAAGTCCAGCTTGCTTCCTGCAGGGTGGCTATACTGCTCCAGCTCTAACCTTCAAACTTCCATCCAGTTGAACAAAAGCCATGCAAAGGACCCTTTTAGAAGTCAAAGTGAGCCCCAGTTCTGGGATGCTAATTCACCTCCCTCCCCCCAGGCTTATCAATGTGTGCCTTCCAGCTACCCAGAGGACACTCCCCAGCACTTTCTCCATATCATGACATTTCCAGTGATAGACTGGAGTCTTGGGAACTGCCCTGCTGGCCTTTTCTCAAATATGCCCCTTTGGGGAAGAATCACCCAGCGTTGGAAAGAGTGGAAACAGCCAGAAAAGGGTTCCTGGGAGAAAAAATGGCTCAAATGAGACTGGAAGTACTAATAAAAGATAGCTAGGTAAAAGCAAGGGTTGTGGGGGCGGGGAATGAAGCATCGTTACAGGTAGAGGGTAAAGATGAACGGTTTGTGTTTGGCATGTTTAGGATGCTCCACGTAGTTTAATATGAATGACCTGAGCTCCAGATGAGGGGGGCGGGGAGAGAGAGATGAACCTGAGAAGTTCCAAATAACAAATAAATGCCTAGTAAACCCCAGGGAAGAAATGTGAACTTTGTCATCGAAGGATCTTTAAGAAGCAAAAAGAACTTCATTTTCTGCATTTCCCAAAGTTTACTCAGCACACCATAAAACAGCTTTCAGCAGTTAAAAATGAACAGACCACATCCGAGCTCCTAGGAAGGGCTCACAAATTCTTATTCTGACGTCAAAAGGACTCAGGCGCCAACTTAAAGAGGCTCCCACAGTCCGAAGAGGGGACAGTTTGAACATCAGGAAGAATAAGAGCAAAGGATTGAGACATACTCATATTTTAAAAATCGTTAAGTTCATAATGATACTAAAAACATTACGGGTTATTTTTGGAGAATGCTGGAAAACCAATTCATTATTCTAACCACTGTAAAGAGTCAAGTATTTAACAAGCTTTTTCTCTAAGATCCACATAGTAATCAAGTAGTTGACCAAGGAAAGATTTTCTTCATGAAATCCTTCCCTTTAAGGTGCTATTCCAGGTAATAAAAGAAGAAGAGATATTAAAATAATTTTGCCCCTCTTGGATAATGTCTGCATCCCACAACTAAGGAAACCAGTATTTTGATCAATTAAGACTAATTTTACCTGTATTAAAACATATCRGTGAAAAGTAACAGAATATTCTCTTTTGTGTCTGACTTCTTCCGCTCAACACAATGTCTATAACACTTAAGAAACATACACAGTGTGGGGAAACTGTTTTGGACTGGTTTGGACAAACTACAGAAAATATTACTGCAATAAGTGGGAAATGATAACATTGGTTAGATGAATATTTGATATTAAGGAATAATTATCAAATATTTACAAGGCATGACAACGGTATTGTGGTGCATCTGTATGTTAAAAAGTGCCTTCATCTTTCAGATCCATACTGAAATACTTATGGATGAAAAAATATCATTTGCTTCAAAATGRTGAGGGTGGGAAGGTGAGGGGGATGTGTCTACGGTAATTGCTGGAATGAGGTGATGAGTAACAGGCATTCCATCGACTGTTCTTTCTCCTTTGTATGTAATAATAAAATTGTTCTTAAAAATATAATTGATTGAAAGAATAATTTCTAATGTTCTATAGCATAGCAGACAATTATGATTGACAATAATTGTGTATTTCAAAATAGCTAGTTTAAGAGGCATTGTTTTGCAGTGATGGGTATCAAATCCATGGCTTCCTGCATGGTAGGCAAGTACTCTATCAACTTTTTTCTTTTTGGCACTGGGGATTAAACCCACATTAGCCAAGCCCTCTACTCACTTAGCTACACCCTCAGACTCATTATGGAGGATTCTGAATATTTATAATACAAAGAAATGACCAATGATTGATGTGATGAAGTATGAGTGTCATAATGATCATTATGAATGTCACACTGTACTCCATAAATATGTACGATTATTATGTGCCAATTAAAAAATACGAAAATATTAAAACTCTGATTGAAAATAGCAAGTAACAAAAGTCCCCAAGATACGCACAATATACTCCTCCAGTTTTATGGACGGGTGATATGTTACGAAATAGTAAAAACAGGCATGAAAATGAGAAATGTAAACATCAGGAAACTGGTTACCCCTGAGGAGTTTTGGAAGAAAACAAAAGCTGTTTTAATTATGAATAGTGTTTTTATTTAAGGAAAAAGAATCGGGAACCAATAGAAACTATGAAGATTGGACAACACTGTGTGCTGAGTGCTGGGGCTCTCTATACTTCCCAGAATGCTTAAAATATCCTGAACAAAACAAAGGAAGGGAGAGAGATGAGATTGGCAGTAGAATGCCAAACAGAATGGCCAGAAGTGACACAGAGGTGAACTCCAGACAGGCAGCCTGGATGAGGAAGGGGCAGGGGCTGAATTCCATAAATGCTTAGGAGGCAGAACTGACCAGATCAGCTGATTGATGGCTGCAAAGGGGAGGAGTCAAGGGCCGGACCTGGGTCCAGCTGCCAATGCAGCAGCAATAGGGCCTGGGGATGACAGAAAGAGTGAGTTGTGGACAGGAAGAGTGAGTTAGGTACAGGGGGCTGATCTAGCCAGTTTGCTCCATTCTAAGACGGCCATTTTACCAATCTGATTTGGAGAAGTAATTCACAATTTACCTGTTGTTTTAATATGGTATTCTTTTCTTACTACCCCCCTCACCCCCAGAAAACCCCCAATCGTGAAGTCAGCATTTTATCTTATAGTAGGTAATAGAATAGAGGAAATAAGACAGATTTGGGACTCACACATAAATAAATTAGGTTAGTGTTTCTAACCTAATTTATTATTGCAGGAATTTTAAAAAGCTGTGTGTCTTTTTTTCTCTTAGGCCCTTTACAGAAATTCATCCACACCCCTTGAGAGGGTTCCTGGCTGCACCCTGTTGCTGGATCCATGGGGGAGGGGACAATCACTGATGAGGTGATATTGCTGGGAAGCTGAAGATTTCTCAAGAAGAAAAGTGAGGCCGGACATGATGATTCATGCCTATAATCCCAGTGGCTCTGGAGGCTGAGAGAGGAGGATTGCAAGTTCAAAGCCAGCCTCAGCCACCTAGTGAGGCAATAAGCAACTCAGTGAGACCCTGTCTCTAAATAAAATATATATATATATATAAGGGCTAGGGATGTGGCTCAGTGGTAAAGCATCCTTGGGTTCAATCCCTGGTAACAGGAGGAGAAGGAGGGAGGGGGAGGGGGAGGGAGAGGGGGAGTGGGAGAAGAAGGAGGAGGAGAAGAGGGGCTTCTGAGATGGACACTCTGGAACATTTTTCTTCTATCTTCCTTTCTAGAAAGAGGAACTCTCAGAGGAGCCTGAGGCAAGGGGGCCAGAAGTAGAAGAAAGGGAATGTTACAGAGTCAAGGGAAAATCTGTTTCACAGAAGAGGAATAACAGTGTCAAATGCTCCAAGGGTTACAGTCCCTGACCTCTGGCCACAGGGACTGCTGGAGAGCGGTTGCTTAAGGCATTGTGGGGCCCATTTACAAGCTGTGAGGCACTGAGCAGTTTACTCAACCTCTCTGAGCCTACAGTTTCTCTGTGAAGGGGTGATCAGCTTGCTTTCCCCTCGGGGCAATGACTGACCCAAGGCCACGCTTGCAGAGCATCAAACCAGCAGCGTCCTACAGAGGTTGGATGCTTTTCTAGTTTCTCTCCCTTCCTTTCCCCACTTTCCTCATAAGTAAACAAGAGACACTGGGGAGGAGGCGGAAGTAGGGATAGCTGCTTGCCACGTGTTGATGAGGGCAAAACTTAGTGCTCCAAAAGCCTGTCCTCCCAACACAAACACACATACACACCTACTTTCAGACAGCCACAGCCGCAGCCACAGATGTAGGCAGAAACATGCAACCGACCCAGAGACACTRACATGATGGTCAGGCACATGAACACACAAACCACCTGGCTCCCACCCTTTGAGAAACACATCCAGCCTCAGCAGGGGCCTTTGCCAGAGGCCCTTAAGGGCTGTTGCATCTCCTCAGACCAGGGTGACCATCTCTGCAGAGCCTCTGGGGCCCCAGAGGGTCCCTACGCCTCAGCCTATTGCAGCTGATCCCCACCCTGTAACCCAGCATCCCAGAGAAGGAGAGGGGTGCTGAGGTAGGCCTGCCCCTGTCCCTGGGACCCACCTCGGAGTTCTCCACCACCTTTTCCAGGTACTTGTTGAAGATGGAGTAGTTCTGCAGCTTGACGCTCAGCCGCTGGTGCTCCAGCCGCAAGGCCGCCATCTCCTGCTTGGCCTTGGCCAGTTCCCGGAGGCGCTGCCTTTTGAGTTCCCGCTCCTTGTTGGCTTTCTTCAGGGCTCGGATCCGTTTCTGGTCATTTTCCTGGGACCAGGGAGCCAGGGTAGGTTAGGCAGGCTTGTCCTGTCCTCCCTGGGGTCCCCCAGCCTGCCTGGGCTGCCCTCAGCCCTGCTCTGTCTGGGTCGCCCACATGTGGGAGAGGAGGTGCCAAGGAAAAGGATTTCTGAGGTTATCTGAAGGGAGTTTTTGGTTAGTTGATGCTAGTGATTGAAGCTAAGAGATTCCTGTGGATCAAGGTAAGGCTCAGAGGACAGCAGCTTAGTTCAGACTCAAGAGGTGACCTTGGGAGGAGCAGATGGGAAACTATTCTGCTTCTGTGGGCTCTGGATTTCAAAGAGTGGATGGGAGAAACCAGGGTTGAGGAACAACCATATTACACTGGGGCTCAGTGTCTGGAGAAAACCCAACCCTGAGAAAGGCTGAGAAAATCCAGAAGTGGGAGCAGGAACCCTTCTGACAAAGCTTCTATTGTTTCTGTTTCTAATGGTGATCATTTATCCTGGGGCAGATGGCTGGGTCAGAGTTAGGAGGCCCAAATTTTCTCCTGATTTGGTGGTACTCAGTGCCTCAATTTCTCCAACTGTAGAAATGCAAAACAGTCAGCCCCCTCTTCCTCCCAAAAGCTGGGGGCCACATGGATCAAACTATATGAAGATGAGATAGGAACTGTGTGCTCAGTCCAGAGGGCCCGGTAAGATAAGGACATTCCAGAAAGTGTGTCTAGGAGCTCAGCCTGGCATTGCTTCCAGGAGATGGTACAGGAAATTCCAAGCCCAGAAAGAAAGAATGAGGCTCAGTTACATTAATCAGTCTAAACCCTGCCTTTTTCCTTCTGTCAAGCCCTCTCACAAGATTAGGGTCAAGCCCACCCTATGCACTGTCCTTGTGTGGCTCCTTTCTCCTCTTGGGAGCTCCTGAGATTGCACATGGATGGGCATGTGTGGTGGTGGCATTTGGAGAACATGAAAGAGGATGTGTGGAGAATCTGTGCTCTCCCCCTAGCACAGGAAGAGGCACAAGCAGCTCTAAATGAGTGGCTTTCAAATATACCTGTGCAACAGAATCACTTGGGAGCTTTTTAAAAACTATAGATACCTGAGCCCAACCTCAGACCTGCTGCAAACAAAGAGGTCTGTGTTTGTAGCAAGCTCTATGGGATTCCCAAACTGAGGACTTTYCTAAAGTCATTTGGAGAACCCCTCACTCCCAAATCTCTTGCCACCTCCAACCACTCCATCAGCTTTTCTCTGGCAGGTAAAATGAACAAGACCCCAGGGGAATGTGCCCAGTCCACTGACTTCTGGTCCTGCATGGTTAGACATACAGTGTGGTTTAAGAGCAGGGCTCCTCTGTGGCAGATATAGCAATTGGACCCCCCCTGCAGCTAGCCAAGGACCTTCAAGAATCCATAAGTGCTGGCAGATCTGGGTAAATCTGAATTTTAAGATGATTAAATTACTCCTCTAAAGACAGAGGGAGGGGGATTATCTTGGAATGGTCTCTGTGGCATGGTCCTCCAACAGTCCCCCACCTGTACCTTTGGTATAAGGACAAAGATGGAAAAGAATGGTGAGTGAGGAGACTAAAACCTTTGCCCATCCATTACTGTATCCCCAAGTGCTTATCCCTGGTAGGGTCACATCCATCCACCCACCCATTCAACCGTTCATTCACTGGATAAACTATACATCCCAGGAACTGGTAAGAAAATAGGAAACAGCCATCTAAAGGGGGCAGAGACTGAAAGGTAAACAGCAAATTAGAAACAACACCACAAGTGAAGACTTCAGGATGCCTGGGAAGCACCAGGCATTGTTAATAGCACTGAAGATGCTTTTAACCCTGAGTGACCCTCAAAAGCAAGAAGAAGAACAATTTGCCCCTTCATACCTGGATGAACTGCTCAAATTTCTGGATGTGGGCCTTCAGCTGTTCTTCCTTGACTCCCAGTTCCTCCCAGCGCAGGTTGAGGCTTTCCATTCTGCGCTTAAATGTCTTTGGGAGTGTAGGAGCAGAGAAAGATCAGGAGGACGRCAGCTTCCCCTGCTCCAGAGTCTCTATCCCCCAGACCCAGGAGGGTTCATAGATGGCCTCCCACTTTGCACCCTGTTCCTGGCTTAGATTAGAGCATTCCAGGACACTGGTCACTCCAAGACTTAGGTCTTTTCTATTCTCCCCAGAGAAAAAGACCAGAACCACTAGCCAGGACCCTCCAATTTAGCCGCCTCCTCCCCACACCTCCAAAATGGAGGGATGTCTACCTGAGCCTCAGATGGCTCCCTCTCCTGTCCTGTACCCCCGTCCCCATCCCCAAGCCCCCCCCCAACCCTTACCTCCTTCTTCTGTTCCATAGCATGATGCATAATCTTTGCTTCCTTTTTCTTTTCCAATAGCTGGATGGATGGGGAATCTGACTGTTCTTGCATATTGGGGAACTTCCTGCCCAAGACATGGGCAAGAGAGACAGGTGCATTCTGAGCCTGGGGCAGGCTGGGCAGGGAAGTAACCCAGGGAGCCAGATACCCATAGGAAGGAAAGGGGTATAATCTCTGACCTGAGTGGGAAGGGATGGTGTATTGAGGAGATAAGTCTATGCTGGCATTTGGGGAAAGAGCAGTGATGGGGTTCTGGTGTCCAGGTGATGGAGCAGGGTGATTGGGAGTGCTGGGTTATAAGAGAGGAGGGGATAGGTTAGAYGGTGGGGCATGATGTGGGTGTGGGTAGTCCCAGGCACAAAGGGACTGAGTAGGCCAGGTCCCCTGACACTCACTGCAGCAGTTGCAGTAGGCGCTCCCCATACTGAAGCCGGAAGTATTCAGCCAGGTCTTCTTCTTCCATGATGCCCAGACTCATGGTGGCAGTGACCTAAAGGCCCGGGCTCCGGGCACCTGACTTCACAGTGAAATCGTGGGTGGCAGAGCCACAGAGGACTCAAAGGTGCTGGGGGCTGTGCTCTTGCTTGTCCCCTCCTCCTCCTTTAGGGTGGGTGTTTGAGAGATTCAGCAAAAGCCAGCTGGAAGCCCACGGTAGGCAGCTGAGGACGATGTGTTGGGTTGGATGATGGGAAATTGGTTACCTAGCAACAGGTTGCCTGGTTCTGTGAACCACACCTGGAACCCAGGCTTTGCCCTCTGACCTCTGGTCCCACGAACCCCACTCTGGCTGGAGTTCTTCCCGCCCTTACCCTTCAGGAACTCTGGGAAGAAGACTCAGGGAGGCAGGGTCTGGGAGCTCAAGGCTGAGAGGGAGGATCTGGCAGAGAAGTGTGGCGCTCCTCCTGGGACCTCCCTCCCTGGTGTGTGATGATGAAAGAGGGGACTGGACCTTTGAAGTCAATGACCAAGAAGAAAGAAGAGGAAAGGAGGCACTGAGTTGAGGCGAGAAGAGGGTGAGGTGAACAGAGAAGATGGGAAGAAGCCTGAAATCTAAACCCCGTGGCTGGCCACAGACACCTAGGGCTGCCTGTGTGAGGATGGGCAACAGCCTGGGGACCAATGAGGGGCAGCCATCGGGCACGTGGAGGACGGCCCAAGCAAGGCCCCTTGGGGTGCAAGAGTCTTGGGTGGGGCCGGTGCAAGTTTTTTTTTTTTTTTTTTTGGGGGGGGGGGGGGGGGGGGGGGCACGGAAGTGTCAAAACAGTGTCACAGAAATGTCCTGTTTAAACGGTTTGCTTTATGATGGCTGCCTTTCGTGATCCCCTCAGGGCACGTGCATAGACTCATTGGACCTGAGGTCCCACGTGTAAATTGGAGACGGTGCGTCTGCCTTGGGGGCTCCTGCTGCGTGCTGGACCCTGACCGCGACCTCGATCCAGCTCGTCCCCCCCCGCCCCTGTTCCCCTGGGTCGCTTTGCCTGGGTTCCCACACTCGTCGGGCCGCCTCGCTGCCCAGTCTGTCTGGGAACCCGAGTCCGGGTGGGATGGGATGCGGGGTCTCTGCCGGGGCGGTGTCCCTCGCCCAGCGAGTCCGCCCCCCGCCACATTGCCGGTGGTCTGGCGCCCCCTGCCGGCCGCCGCCACCTCGCGCTCTAAATCCTGGCCGGGAGGAGGGGGAGACGTGGTGGGAATGCCGCCCACCTCTGTCCTGCCCGTCTCCACTCTCTGACCGTCCTCATCTCCACAGCCGGCCATAACACGTGACTTGTCCCTTCGAGCCGGCCCGGTGGGCTCAACAGAGGTAACAGGACCCACCCCACCCCACCCCACCCAGCGTGTACCCACCCATCCCCTCACTATCCCCAGCCCTTATTAAGCCCCTAAACCTGAGATGCTGTCCACCACAGGATCCCAGAAGAGACAGACCCAGCAGGATGACAGTAAGAATATTAATAATAACAATTATGTATATTGTACTAGGGATTGAACCCAGGGGCACTTACCCACTGAATCATATCCCCAGCCTTTTTTTTTTTTCTTTTTTTCTTTTTGTATTTTATTTAGAGTCAGGGCCTTGCCAAGTTGCAAAGACTGGCTTTGAACTCACAATGCTCTCGCTTCAGCCTCCCAAGCCCCTGGGATTACAGGGGAGCGAGCGCCACCGCGCTCAGCCATTGATAACGATTCTAATCTAAACTCTGCAAAGGTGTGTCTCCTTGTTTATCCAGAGACAGCCCTGCACAGTCTGTTCAGAGTTTCCCCCCCTTTCTCTTGAGTGAGTGGCTCAGTTTGGGTGGCTGTGTGATTCCAGCCCTGGAGGAAGAGGCCTTCWGCTTCTGAAATCACCTGTTCACCTCTGTATAAAAGACATATGTTTGATTTTGGAATCAGATGAGGCAGGGCCAGGTTGGTCCATCCAGAGCCCATCTGGGTGGCTGYTACAACATCCTCCTCTTCCGCTTCCGCCCATATGTCCACTTATGTATGTATGAAAGTTCTTTTTACTGTTTCATCTGCTGCCTTGCTGGAGTCATGAAAATCTTGATGTCCTCACCTGCCATCATCCATCTTTGGACTCTCACTGTCTTCCCAGGGCCTATGGGAGCAAGGAACCAGGCTGTTGAGTTCATATAAGTCTGCACTCTTCTCAGATTCCCTCTTTTGCCTCCCTCCATGAGCCTTGCTTTCTTTTAAAATCACTCCCCCCCTGGCCTGCCCCCTGCCCACACCCATTTCCTTTATCTATATTGATATTTGCCTCTGGTAAAATCTCCTACTGGATTTAGAGTAATCATCTAATGGATTTAGGTTTCTGCAAACCAATAGGTCTATTTTATTTTCTGTCCTGTCCCATCCTCCCTCTGAGATAGTTGTCTATTTAAAAGGAGTGGGGTGGGTTAGAATAACAGGAGAAAAAAGGCACAAATTTGTATCCTGGCATCCAGACCAGCATGTTGCTGGGTGCACAGTCCCCCAGCTCTCCTGGGAGGGTCTTTCAGGCAGTCATCAGGGTCTAAGTCCCTTCTGTCATTCAGCTTCACTGTAATCACCTGGGATCTCCAAGGGGAGAAAGAAAGAAAAAAGGGGGAAAGAGAAAATACAGAACAGGCCCATCTGCTTAAACTCATCACCACCGCCATTCATTGACTTCTAGTGGAAATGGGTCACATGGCCACCTATATTGCAAGGGGTTAGAAATGAAGTTTCACTGTGTGTCCAGGAAGAGGGAATTATTTTGATGAGCATCAAACCAGATTGTGTTGTTATTCTTTTGAGAATTAAAAGGATCTTTGGAAGCAAGCCGAAAGCAGAGCTTAATAAAGAACTTAATTGTAGACAAAGAAAGGAAAAAAAAAGGTCAGGTCAGTTACAGTCTTACCTATGAAAATCTTAATGTTAACATTACTTGATTTAATTTAGTGTACATTATCTCCCATCTTCTGGAAGATTCTGTTCCACACAGTGATCAGAGATCTAAAACCCTTCTATTTTGCAGCTCCACTATATTTGTTATGACCTCCAGGTTAAAAGAATAATTCACTAGGAATATGAATATAAAATTATTTGATATTAGGAAATCTATTCATAAAATTAATTCTATTAGTATGTCTCAATTGTAATCATTGTGATAGATGCCAATGTGGCATTGAAAAAAAATTCGACATCCATTGCTTTTAGTAAAAGAAAAAAAGAAAAAAAACCTATTAGTATACAAAGATATTTTATTAACATGATAAAAAATATCTTAACCCAACAAATAACATTAACATTTACATTCAAGACATTTTTATTAAAGTAAGGACATGACAGACTTTCTGCTGTCACTACAATTACTTAACAGGGTTTTAGATGCTCTAGTTAGTGCAAAAAAGACAAGGAAATTAAGTTTTTCTTTCTTTACATGATGGCAGATGCTGTGATCATGTACTGTGAAAATTCAAGAGAATGACTGGTTAATTAAAAACAATTTGTATTATATGCGATGCTATACAATTTATAACAGGGATGAAGTTGATTTATATGCACAGACATGGAGAAGTATCAGTGATAAATTAAGTGACAAAAGCAAGATGCAGAACAGTATGTTATGTATAATGCCATTGAGTGCGTGCGTGCGTGCGTGTGTGTGTGTGTGTGTGTGTGTGTGTGGTTAAGCATTCGGAAAAGCTGTAGAATCATATTGCTAGATCTTTGAGGGCAAAAATGACATGGGGTTGGGGGAGGTTGTTATGAATGGTTCTCTGACTTTTTACTCTTTATATTGTTTGATATTTTTTACAATCACTATGTTCTGTAATTTTGAAAAAATAGAAAAAATGTGTCCACTTGTATTGGTAGCAATAGAAGAAAACTCTTAGAAATAAGAAGAAATGTGTGGGGGCTGGGTTGTGGCTCAATGGTAGCGCGCTCGCCTAGCATGCAGGAGGCACTGGGTTCGATTCTCAGCACCACCTAAAAGTAAAATAAAGATATTGTGTCCACCTAAAACAAAAAGAAAAAATAAATATTAAAAAAAGAAATATGTGGGGCTTTAAAAGAAAACAGTCAGAGCAGTGCTTAGCATGAGCAAGACCCCAGGTTCAATCCCCAGTACCCCTTCCCCTCCAAAGAAAGAAAGAGAAGAAAAAAGAAATGTGAAAGAAGACTGGAATAGAGACATAAAATTTCTGAATGATGACTCAAAATTGTAAAGATGTAAATTTCATCCAAATGAATTAAGGAATTTAATGTGATTGCAATCAAAATCCTAGACCAAAAAAAAAAAAATCTCCTCTCCAGCAACTGATAAAATATGTAAATGTTCATCTGGAGAAGCAGTGTACGTAAGGAAATATTTTTAAAAGGAGAGGGAATGTGTGCTGCTAGACCCTAAATGTATTCCAAATAGAAAAAAAAAAATTTACAATTTTAAGAAAACACCTCCGGACAAGTACCAAAACAGACACATTTGGAGGCGGAATTGGGCTCATAGGACCCCAGTTTGTGATCCTTGACACAGTGAAACAGAACAGAAGGCCCAGAAAGAGACCCAAGTTTATGTAAGAATGCATTAAATGCTATGGTGGCATTCAACTTGTCAAGAAAGTGTGGGTTATTCAACATATGGTGCTGGGATAGCTAGCTAATTATTTGGGGGAAAAAAGATACATACAATTCCAGATGGATTTGAGTTAAATGTGAAAATAATTCATTCAGTGGAAATGCGACTTTTCCGTTTTCTGCCCTTGCTGAGAGAGTACCAGGATATACTCAATGCTATAGGCCTGAAGATTTTATATGCTATAGTATGAAGATTTTACAGATCTCATTTATGCGTTTAAACTCTGACCAAAGCCTTGCAGAGTTTTCATTTTCCTGTGTCTTTGCAGTTGGTTTCTTTTCTTTCTTTTTTCTTTTTTTTTTTTTTAGTGTTTTGTGGTACTGAGGATTGAACCCAGGGATACTCTACATATTGACCTTTTTATTTATTCATTTTTT